ATCATCATCATCATCATCATCATCATCATCATCATCATCATCACAATCATATCCAATCATATACATTCTACTTTTGCACGTACTTTCGTGTAGAAAACACACAACCAAACATATTCTCATTTTCACACCTATATAAAACTAAAATTTTTACTTCATCCAAACATATTCTCATTTTTTGAATAAAAACCAATATATCTACTTTTTCCATCAGAAATTTTGAAAAACTAGAAACATAACCAAACGGGTCCATAGACTTGGATTTACCCTCTGCTTACATATCCTCCTTCGCTTACATATCCCCCTTCAGCTAGAAACCATAAAATTATTTTTTTAATGTGCCAGTACATTTTGTATTTTCGACATCTCTATTCTTTGGTTTCACCTGTTTTTTTCCAAACCGATCACAAGTGACTTATACTCTCACAAAAAAATATGACTTATACTTAGCTTAATACAATGACTTTCAGTTGTGTCTCTCGCCCCCTATACTAAATCAGCTCTACAATTAAATAATTGTACTCCTAAAAAAAAAATTAGAATAATTAACTTACCCATTATCCTAAAAAATAAATAAAATAGAACAAAAAAAAGGGACCGCGTCTAAAGTAGGAATGGACGCATCAAAGACACTGCTCACGTTAGACGCGAATACGGTACCGCGCATCCAATATGTGTGCGTTGTCTGTTGCGTTCGCTTCCGGGTTGTCCGTCCTCTATACCAATTCAAGTCCCACCACGGTTGCCGTAAAGTTGATAATTTTTTGGCAAAAAAAATAAAATCTTACCTCCGATTGAAGTGGATCGTCGTTAGAAGGTATTAAACTCATTAATTAATGATTATTACGTATGATACTTTTGAGTATTTTTAAAATTCAATGTTGAGAAATGGGCCAAAAATGATCTTTGTGATTAGGTCCAACTCCAATTATTCTAGGTAAACCACACAGGAAGTTGGACCAAGTCTTGGAAGCCCATTCCCGGTCTATAGTCTTTGTCTCTTTGACTAATCTTGACCCTAGATTTTTATTGGTGAAATCCTGTCCACCCATCCCTTCAGGAATCTTAATCTCTCTCTGTTGTACATCCGTTCAACCTTATCTTTTTTGGTGACCTGTTAATTGAGTCTTCATCGTACTCAGTTGACCTTGACTCTAAAGCGTATTTCGCGCTTCAGACGTTGTTTTCTACGCTATAAATGCATTACCTAGAGCGAGAGAGAGAGAGAGAGGATAACATTGTTTGTGATATCCTCTATTATCTCTAGACTTATTCTCCTTTTGTAAGTGATTAATCTGTTGTGAGAGTAATATAGGGTTGAGCTGAGTGATTGGGTATTATTATTCCCAAAATTTGACTATACATGTGTTGGTTAGTCAAATCTTCACGAGCCAAGGAATAGAGTTAGGGTTTGGGTGTGAGTGATTCAAGACAAAGTTTGTTCCTGTGTGTGGAGTTGCTCCCACCTTGAATTTTCGAACAAAGGGGACTGAACCAAACTTTTGGAAAAACAACTCCATATATTGGAGTTATTTCATCCTTAGATCTATTTTTATCAGTATGTTTCATTATGTTATATGTATATATAGTTCATACAAGTACCCAACACCCTAGAGAAAAGTCGGAGAAGATAGAGCATAGAGAATATTTTTTTGGGTAAATTAAGGTCCCTGTGGTATTGATAATTACAATTATTACCCTGAAGCGTTGTTAGAAACTATAACGGGAGAATGCATTGGATACGTTATTCCGATAGGATTCGAACGGACTATTAGTTTCAGGAAGTGGAAAAGACAACATAGAGAAAGGGGTCATTTAAGAAATGTTGCGGGATCCATATCAACCCCTAGCTCTATGTTATTCCACTACTTCTTGAAACTAATAGTCTGTTAGAACTTTATCAGAATCACTTATCTAATGCATTATCCCGTTACAGTTTTTAATGATATTTCAGGGGTGATTGTAATTACCGATCTCACAAGAACCTTAAAGTTATTTCAGCATACATAAGTAACATAAGTAATAGATGCATAATTTACCATATGGTTTTTTTTTTATTAAACGCGGAATTTAATAACATTTAGTATGAGATTTAGCACCCCTTGAAAATAAATGAATAACCGACCTTGAAGGGGGAAATAAAAATCGCAATACACCTTAGCGGCATCAGAAACACAAACCATGCATCCGCGCTCTTCAACTTTACTCCCCTCTGTCTACCCCGAAATCATCTCTTCTTCTTCATCTTCTTCTTCACATCTTTTTAGTGCTCTGGGTGGACTTTTACACTATTTTTCTGGACGCCAAGCAGGTAATTTCTTTCTAATTTGATCCTCTACTTCGATTTTTTTCTGATTTTCCGTGTCTATTGAAACCGCGAAGTTAATTGCTAAATTTTGTGGATAGATACTTGTAATTGAAATTTGTTTTTTTGCATGATTTTTTTTTTTTTTTTTGGAGGTTTCAGCTGTAGCTTGCTTAGTTCGGTTGTGCAACTACTTTTGTGTGAGCGCGTGTTTGTGTGTTTCACTATATTGTGTTGATTTTGAGCAGGAAAGAAAACTAGTTTGAAATGAAAACTGATAACAAACAGTTTCGGATCAGAGATGAAATTTGTATTCAGGTGTGGCTGAATCTGTATCTATTGTTTGTTATCATTTCAGTCCAGATTGAAGTTCATAAATGTATGAATTTAGTATTCAGGTGGCTGAAAATTGAATTATTAGGCTGAATGTGTATCGATTTCATAATTTCAGTTCATAACTGTATGGTGAAAATATATTCCAGTTTTTGGCCTTTCTAACTAGCATATATGTGAATATGCCGGACGCTTTATATGAGAGCAAATTAGTATATAGCATATGCTGTGTTATCCGACTTCTGCTATTTTGTGGTTGACTTGTGGGCGCATATTCATGTCAATTGGAAAGTTGTCTTTACGATGTCGGCTCGTGCAAACACTCCGTCATTTTCTGGCCCTGAATTTCCTGTTTCTTTTAGCTCGTGTCCGTCTTTATGTTTTTTTATTTCCTGCTTGTAGTTCTCATCACAAAAAAAAATGTGGCTGAATTGATTGTCAGGTGCTTTTTCTTTTTTCAGATTGATTCGATTCTAATATGAGAGCAAATTAGTGTATAGTGATCCCAGTTGGCTTTTTAACATCAATCTGCATGCTTAGGTGGTGTTTGAAAACCCTTTTCCAAAGTGATTATGAGCTTTTTCCGATTTGTGTTTTTACATGTTAGAATTTGTATCCGCTTGAGGATGACACTGATATTGGTTTCTTAACTCGGAAACTTTCAGGAAATTGAAACTCCATAAAGCGTTGGTTGAAGTTTGAATCACCTCCACCTACATGGATAACTATGGAGTACATACTGCATCGAAACCTTCAAGGAGAAGGAGGAGTAATTTGAATCGTCGTCCTCCAACTCCACATGAATCAGATTCTCCCAAACAAGAGAATCGTGATTCTATTTCTCTGTCATCAACACCATCAGACCATGTCAGTGATGCACCAACTGAAGGGAACATTGTTCAAGAAGCTACAATATGGAGCAAGGGACTAAATTCCAATCAATTCATTTCCACGGCGTCGTGTACTAACCTTTCCGAGGCTGAAACAATGCACGAGAGTAATGACGATAAAGAATCTTCTCAAGTTAATGCCGCAGGAACAAGCTGGAAGAGTTTGAAAACGGACAGAAATAAAACGAGCGAAATAGTAATTGGCAGTCACCACTCCGGTAAACCAGGATCGGTATCTGATGGACCCGGAACGAAGTTGAATAAGCTCAAACTCAAGGTTGGAGGTGTGACGCATACAATTCACAGAAGATCCAGTTCCGATGGTTCTTCGATAGCTGCCCCAGATACCGCTTGTCCTCCTCGTATGCTGAGTTTTCAGGTATCTATTTCCGCTCGAATGATTATTCAAGTGATTATGGCTTTCAAAGCTAGTGGTTTAGGCTTTTTTCTTTATTCTAATTTTTTTTTTCTAAATCGAAAAATTTAAACCCATGGCGACTCATTCTAAATACCAGACAATTGGACTACTAGTTGCCAAGTGAGAGAGAGTTGACAGGTTTCGTATTATGGTTAAACAAGTTGTAGTTCTTACCCTGTTTTTGTCGTCTATAGCATTGGACTTCATTTTTTAAGACAAATTTGCAGCTTCCTATCTGCTTTAGAAACGCCTCTGATAATTGACCGATTATTCAGGCAGTTATATTTTCTGTCTTTTAGCAGGATAATCCTAATCTTCGTTTGACGGGCAAGAAAGGGGGCCTCAGTGGTGTGCCATGGAGAGACTTTTCCAAAACTGGTTTTAGTCTCCGGAAAGTGGATTCTTTCGGGGTGGATATACCTGAAGAATCTGTAAAGCAAGCTGTGAAACATATCGGGCGGTCATCTAAAAGCAAATCTGTGATGAAGAAATATTCGTCTGATGACGTATACGGTGAGGAAGATGATGACGACGATGATGACGAGATTCGATACCTACAAAAGCTCAGAACTTCCAAAATTGCATCGGACGATAATATAGACTATGACGATGAAAGCAGAGGCAAGAAATTGCGAAAGTTATCTCGGGTATTGAATAGAAATAGTGATGAGTATGCTTCGGTAATTGGAGATTATGACTCGTCGAGATCAGGCAAAGAAAGTAAGAAATCCAAATCGGTGAGAGCATTTGAGGATACTGAGTATATGGAAGAGGAAGGATCAGCATCTGAAGGTGAGATCAAACACGAGAACAAGAAACAGACGAAGGAGGTGACTGATTTCTCTGAATATTCGAAAGGAAGTTCGATCACCACTCGCCGGAGGGCTAATCTGACCGGCAGAGACATCTCACCGGGTTTAGTTGCTAATTCAGTCCAATTTCCAGACGGGCTTCCACCGGCCCCACCAAGAAGTGAGCTTTGCTCATTTTTCCACTGCAGTCATTTCTTTTATTATTTTATTATTTTATTATTGTTTTAATTTTATTTTTCGTGTGAATCGCCTGCTAATTATTTTTGGTTAATGTTGGCAGAGCCAAAAGAGCAGCTAACTGAAGAGGAGCAACAGCTGAAAAGAGTTGAGGCTGCCCAAAGGCGTAAAATTCAAAATGAGAAGGCTGCTCGTGAGTCCGAGGTTTGTTTCTTTATTATGCGCAATATACGGTGTTGTATACTTAACTATTTCTCGAGTATAATATTAAGTAAACGACAGTAGAATTTTCTTTATTAATATTCATGAAATGTATAGGCCGAGGCAATTAGGAAAATCTTGGGTCAAGATTCAAGCAGGAAAAAGCGAGAGGAGAAAATTAAGAAACGACAAGAGGAATTAGCTCAGGTGAAAAAAGAAAAAGAAAAAAAAAAGTTGTTTAGGAACAGCCTTTAAGTTTTCAGTTATTTACTTAGCCAATGAAATTGCAGGAGAGGAGTGCGAATGCTGCTACAGTTGCATCCAATGTTGTTCGATGGGTGATGGGACCTTCTGGAACAATTGTTACATTTCCTCATGATATTGGTCTCCCAAGTATATTTGAATCGAATCCTTGCAGGTATTAAACATAGCTTCCCGCATTATTTTTCTCTTTCTATTATTTTTATTTAATTTAAGTTTTTACTATATGAATGAAGATTAAGTCGTTTTGTCGTTGCCGTTCTTGTTTTTGACTAAAAATCTGGAATATTCTGACTTGAACTTCCAGCTATCCTCCTCCGCGAGAGAAATGTGTGGGTCCCGCGTGTACAAATGCGTACAAGTACAGAGATTCAAAGTCGAAGATGCCTCTTTGCAGCCTTAGATGCTACAAGGCGGTGCATGACAAGGTACAACCTCTGCATGCTTGTTAGACTGGTTGCGCTGTGGCCCCCCTTTCGTGACTTTGTTTTCAAGCAAAAGGGATAAAGTACGTTTTCATACTTGTAGTTGTATATATACCTTATGGGAAAAATAACTACTTAGAGGTGTGCTTTCACTCGAATAGATGTATATCGTATCTATAACCCTCTTTCGGTTTTCATGTATCGTGGTTTTTAGTGTACTTGTTTTGTATGTGTGAAAAATGTAACGGTGCGAAAAGAAAATAGAAATTAAGATATATGAAGCATATGATGAAATCTTTGGTTAAATCATGCAACTGGTATCATGGTCAAAATGTTATTGTTGATGGTGTTTCTATTATGGGTATACTTGGACGTTCGTTAACAACTATAAACGTTCAACGTGTACTGATTTTGTCATCGGGGTGTACTTATCGTCTGTTTGAACTCGAAGAATGTTTGATTGAATTGTGGATTTGTAGTGGGGTTATATGTTTGATGGAAATGCATCGGCAACAAAATCGAACAAAAGACATGCGTAAGTCTAGATGACGAGTAGAAAATATGTTGAAGCTAAGTCTAGAAGAGCAACAAAAAGCCAAATTTCATTAAAAGAAACTCAATATTTCATGATTAATTGAATGAGCTAAGAAAAAAGTCCTTAAGAAGAGAGTTTATACAAAAAGACTTAATACACAAGAACTATATATTTCTTCTACAAAAGAATTCAATAAATAAAGCTTTTTCACACAGAGAAGCCACCTAAAAATTCTACCTTATTTCAATACAAGAGAAACACAATCTTGATTAATCTATGATTGTTTGTTATCAATCCTGATCCCCTTCGCCGCCTTCAGCTCCATTGTTTCTCGTTCTTCGTCGCAATGCCGTGCGAGGTCGACCGTCCACGACTCCATCAAATCCGTCACCGAACAAGTAGTCCCACCACCACCCATTTTCGTCTCCATTGGGAGGGCCATTGTGAGGATATTTTGGTTATTTGTGAAGATTAGATTGTCGTGGTACTTTATATGGATGGTTGAGAATGGTGGTGCAGCAGGTGGCGGAGGCGAGAATTTACCGAAGTGGGGTGGTGATGTTGTGATGTGGCGGCGGTGTGGTGACGATGGAGAGCAAATCTAGGGTTTTTTAGTAGATTGGGAGGAGGACGACGCATGTAGAGAAATTTGCTCGGACCATTAATCGACTATGATCTGATAGTCGATTAAAGTGTTAATCTGTTGTTTTAATAGTCGATTAAGGACCTTTTAAGAAGAGAAGATTCGATGGTAGTTGAACACTTTTTTTCCTTATCCTATTAATGAACCGAGATTAAGAAAAAATAAAAGAAGAATTGTTATTATTGAACTAAGAAATAATTTGACGAATGCATATGTTTACTGAAGAAGAAATGAAATTTACAATCACGCATCGTCCTATTTATAGGGGAGAATGGATGGGCAGTATGCATGCTGCCATACCGTCGTCGCCCATACTTTCATTTTTATACAAATGATGGGGGCATATGTTTGACCGAACTCTTCTCAATGCATGGGAATGATGGGCGGGCTTTGTTTTTTGAAATAATTAGTAAAAATCCCCCAATTCATTAGGTTTAATAACGATGGATCCACCTCCTTTTACTTTATTAGTGAAAACCCCCATGTTAATTAATTAAATAAATATTTAGCAAATTAATATTTAATGTACCAAATTTACCCTCACATGCCATATATTTATCACATCTGTTGTTACGACAAACGCTATTTTCTTTTCTCCCTCTCCATTTCTCTCACCAACCGTCTTCTTCATTTCTTCTGCCAGAATTTTCAAATTGTTCGTACTCCGCCGCGCGCTCTCAACCTCAGCCATCACCGCCTCTCTTCTCTTATTTCGCGATATGAAAGCATGGGCGGCGCCAATAAGATGACGGACAGGGGCCTACTCCCCCCTTTTTTTCATTTTTGAGGGACGGGCGGATCTGCTGGTGTTTTTTTGCTTTTTAGTTCTTCAATTTTAGGAAGCATTCCTACAATTTTCGTCAGAAAACTGCCTCCATCAATGAAATCGGTTCAGTGTGTTTTGTGATTTCTTAAATTGTGCGGTTGGAAGAAGGGGATAAGGATTTCACTAGGAGTTCAAGAGTACAAGTACTACATTCACATATAATATGTATATTTCTTATTCCAACACTCAGATCCGTGGAAATATGATATCATATGATGTCCTTGTCTATATAATTTATGTTCGAATCTTGTCTTTTGTTTACGAAAACTTTTGCTAGTGGTACTTAATAATTTGTCTTGTTGCTATTTGATGATACGCTAACTTTTATCAATGTGTTCAGTTATTTAGGCATTAAACGATTTTGTAGATGGGACGAAGGTGAATTGGAGAAGATGGTGTGTTTATAGTTGTATTCGCTCAAATTTATAGTAGTCTTGGTGGAATTGGGGGATTTTCTTTGTAGATAATTTCGACAATTTATAGTTGATTTCGAATCATTTACGTAGTTGCTTTCAATTTTTGTAATTGAGTTTGATAAACTTTACAGTTGATTTCGAAAATTTTGTAGTTGTTTTTTATAATTTTATAATTGATTACATTTTTTATAGTTGTTTTCGTTAATTTGTAGTTGTTTTCAATTTTGGTAAACCTGCTATTGGAAAACCACTATTTTTTGTAGTTGTCTTACGGTTTTCTTATAATTGATTTTGGTAAAAGACGAACAAAAAGAATAGTTGATTTCAATAATTTCGTATTTGATTATGAAGAATAAAAAACGTGCAAAAGACTGGAAATAAAAAAAAAAGATTAAATATTGTAGTTGATTTCGAAAATATTATAGTTGATTTCGGAAACATTGTAGTTGATTATGAAGTTTTAGTAGTTAATTATGAAAAATAAAATTGAAAATTAAAAAACAAAAATCGAAAAAATTAATTATTTTTTAAATATTTTTTTAAGTTATTTTTATTTTTTAAATAAATATATAAAAAAAAAACGAAATTTAAATTATACAAAAAAAAAGGAAAAATGCATCAAAATAGTGGGTAATGGATAGGGAATAGAGTAAGGGTAAATTTGAGAATAAATAAATGATGTATCTCTCATTAATAATAGAAATGGGACTGGACCCCCTTATTAAAATAATGGTAGAGGGAGTTCTCACTGTTATCCCCTTGTTTTTTTTTTTTGTTTTTTTTTTCGGGTCGGGTTCGGGTTTTGCTATTTTTCTCTTTTTTTTTCTTCTTTTTTTTTTTAAGTTTTTTTAATTTGTTTTTAATAATAATAATTATTCAATACTTCCAATTCTAAATGTGATATCACACTTTATAAAATATCAAAAATATATTGTTACTTGGTTACAAATACGGGAAATAAAACATATTGTTACATACACAGATTCATAAAAAAAAAAATTACTAAATTTGTTAAAAAAAAAAAAGAATTAATCACAAAAACCTAAAAAATAAAAAAAATAAAAAATAAAAAGCTCCTCTGATTGGAGGTTGCTGGATTGCAGCTATTTCCGAAATTCTCTCCAAGAACGGAATATATATATATATATATATATATATATATATATATAGATATATATATATATATATATAGATATATATATATATAAATATATATATA